AAAAAAAAAACAACAAATAAAAGTGGGGTCACCCAAATAGTTCAGTGGACTAAAGCACCTGCTTACACAGGTACAGGGATGAAGGTTTAACCCCCGCCATGCTGTGCCAGCCCTGCCCCCAGGGCATGCTGAGACAGCAACTGAGACTGGCTGTGGTGGCTTGGCCTGTAATGCCAGCACTCAGGAGGCTGTAAACAGAAGGATCACTATAAGTCCAATCTGTGTAGTGAGACTCTGTAGTACCTGTACTAAAGTACATTAAAAAAAAAAAATAAAAGTGGAGCTGTTGTGGATGATGAAGGAGAAAGTACTAAAGAGGAGGTAAGGAAAAACACCAAAAAGAAGATAAAGTGCCAAGAAAAACTTTAGAAAACTCCTAAAGCATCTCAAGAGTATTGAAAACTCTGTCTTAGGACACAGTAAAACATAAGTGAAAAATATAACCTCCGTTCTCAAGGAGTTCTAATTCTAACCACTGGACTAAGTCCAGAGCACAAACAAGTCCTATGACCAAACCATGCAGTAGCAAACAAAAGAAGAATACCTAACCCAAACTGTAGACATCAAGTAAGAGTTTCCTAGAAAGATAGCACAAGCTATTGCTAAGCTTGTAAGAGATTTAGACAGATAGACACACAAGTATCAGGTACAATCTTAATATACAGCCTATCTCTCCCCCCAAATACTTGAGATCAAACCCCAAGTTCCCCATGTGCCAGGCAAGTACTCTACCAAAGAGCTACACATTCAGTTCAAGACCTTCTGATATATTAATATGCACTGAATAAAGAAGATACAGGGCTGGCCAGATAGCTCAGCAGATTAAAGGGCCTGCTTAGGCAGACACAGGGACCGGAGATTCCATCACCAGCCTGCAGTGCCAACCCCACCCACAGAGCAGAGCGCACTGAGACAGCAATTGAGACGGGGTGTGGTGGCACGTGCCTGTAATCCAGTGCTTGGGAGGCTGAAAAAAGGAGGATCACTAAAAGTCTGCTCTGTGTAGTGAGACCCTGTACACCCTGTACTACATATATTTAAAAAAAAAAAAAAAACAGAGAAGATACAACATGCAGCATTTCCCAAAATATTTGACCATGGAATTCTCTTCAGAGGAATCATTCCCAAAGGACCAATGTTCCACAAAACCCAGCCTAAGATATGCTGGAGGAAATGTCTTTAAAATAGTTTGCTCTTTACAAAACAAAATAAGATCACTTATTTTAGAAAAACTGATTCTAAACTTCACAGGAGTAACCAACATGCAAGAAAACCATTTTTCTTTGAGAAAGTAATAGTCAAAGTATTAGCCTTGTATGATATTAAAATACATAATAGTAACTAAAAATTTGGAAGTGAAGGTGAATAGACAAACTAGCAAATGGAACAGAATACAGAGTCAAGAAATGGACATAAACATGAGCTATATGAATTTGAATAAAGAAATATGCCATCCAGTGATGGAGCAAGAAATTCCCCAATAAGTGACATAAGGAGCACCGGACAGCCACATGAAGGAAAAAGAAATAAGTTGGACCCCAAATTCCAAATTAAACTCAGATGAAATAAAAATTTAAACATATAAAAATGAAATCAGAAAGCAAATATTTTTTAAATAATCTCAAAGAAAAGTATTCCTGAAAAAAACACAAATCTCTGAAGTCATAGGAAAAAACTTATAAGCCCAACTACTTGAAAACAAAACATTCTTATGAGAAAAAATGAACTTACTCAAAACACAATACAGAAAAACATATTAGCAACCAATTGCAAAGGACTAATTTTCCTACCATAAGAAAGGCTACACAAATCATTCAGAACCCAACCATCTACCAGAAAAACTGGGTCACAGACTCACACAGATAATTCCCAGAAAAGGATTATGTAAACATGTCTTAAATCCATGAAAAAATACTGTCTCACTTATAGTAAAAGAACGAAAATTACTAATTTGTAACAATGGCTGAGATGAGATAAAAAAAAGTTTGGTATCGTGCTGTTTTGGAAATGGCAGGTATGTCTACGGCCATACCACCCTGAACACGCCCAATCTTGTCTGATCTCGGAAGCTAAGCAGGGTCGGGCCTGATTAGTACTTGGATGGGACATGGCAGGTATAAGGGAAACAGGTACTCTGCTACTTTTTTTTTTTTTTTTTTGACACCAGGGATTGAACTCAGGCCCTTGCACTTGCCAGGGAAGCGCTTATTCTACTGAGCCATCTCCCCGGCCCCTCTGCTACATTATTGATGAAATATAAATTGGTACCTTTCTGTAGAAGGCGATTTAGCAAGAGCTA